AAGGTACACCCTCCCTCACCCAGCACCACAACACTACTGTGTCTTCAAACACACTCAACTCTCTTATACTTCCAATATTCCATTATATATGAAGAGACGATTCATCAAGATAAGTTTTTTTTTTTAATAGTTATTGAACTGCTTGGACTTTACGCGATGATAACTGCTATTTGTATTATTTATACTCTTAAAATCGGCATAAGTCAGAAGAAGTAAGTCTTAATGAAGGAATTGGGACAATATTTTCCTCGACTCCAGTGAACATAATGTTCGAATCGTGGAATTATTTTGTGAACACTGGCTTCATAACAACTTTCCGGACATTAATTCACATTTGATAAAAAAAAAAATAATGCACTAATCAGTGGACATTACCTAGCCTCAGCACGTTACATGTCAATAAATATTTGTCAATAATATAGACAAAAAGATCTAAAAACGTCTAAGTTTCGAGACAGACTTTGTGTTAAGATATTTACTCAATACAAAAGGATTTACATTATTTTCAGATATTATCTAGACACACCACGACACACGTGAATGTATTTATAAGTGCAAAATAATTTTTTATTTAATGAAATCTAATTTTGAGACAATTAGGCTATACATTTAGGTATTTGCTTGACGCATGGAGTCATTATCTACTTACTATCAACTGCATCAATCATTATTTTAGAAATCAATCTTGTCAATCAGTTACTGAAGTTTTTGTACATCATGGAAACTTCTCCATCATACTCTTCTCCATTAATTAATTTCACAAAGAAAAATTATTATTTCCAAATTAATAATAATAATTATTACTATTATGGTAGAAGCGCTAAACTCATAGGGCTCAAGCTTGGGCAGTGGGAAATAATCGGGTTTGATCCAGGAATAGCGTAGCTCCAGTTCCTCGGATCGAGTCTTGATGGTGAGAGGATATATAAAGTCCGTGCGTAGTCAGATTAATTCATTTATTATTATTTTTTTTTTTGTGTGTACACTGACCACATATATAAACTTGTTTAAGCTACGTAATGCCACCAGGAAGTATTAGTATTATATTCAAGGGGAAGCGCGAGATCCGTAGGGGTCATACAGCGCCCTGGAAGGGATAGGGGGGAAGGTTAACCTGGTTTGATCCGAGGAAGGGGATGGTAGCTCCTATTGCTTGGATCGAGAGGCTTCCCTTGAAGGGCTATGCCATGAGGATGAAATGTTGTGTTGTCTGTGGCTGGCGGTGTGGACACCATCACAGCCACCTTGATGGGTGAAAGGTGCACTAAATGACAGATGCAGTGGGTACCTTTACTAACGACAACGTTTCGCCCACACAGTAGGCTTCATACGCCAGAAAACTTAAGTTCCTACCGATTAAGCCATCAGTTTGCTACGTGGAAAATAAAATGAGTAACAAATATGAGCCTTTCCTTATCCAGCCAATATTATTATTATTATTATAATCAAAAAAGAAGCGCTATCCAGCCAATAATGTGTTGACCTAGTTGAAGTTTGTGTCATTTAAGCTGTTTAATATATAACAGTGCCTGATACAGGTACAGAACTCGGCATGGCCACGAGCTTACTCACTAGCACAGTGCCAGCCAACATCAACATGAAATCGTTGGAGGCTCTAATAACATGTTCATTTTTCCAGGATCTTTTTTTTAATTCATAGACGTCTAAGCAAAGTTCAGACGTCTACAACACAAGTGTCCTCAAAGATTTGTTAAGTTATACCATGAATTAAGGAAAGATCCTGGACTTCACCTTAGGAAACAGACAAAGAAAATGCGATAGTAATTATGGACATGGTAGATTATAGTGGAAAAATGAACGTGTTATTAGAAGACGGGGGAGCTTGCGTGCCCCTTAACAGTTCCAGGGTGTCATCCCGACCGATATAACCTTGGTATAAGACACCGACGAATTGGTTTAGAAAGACATGAGAGCAAACACGAGGACATGTTTATTAGAAAACGTTTCGGTTCTGGGACCTTGATCACTTCTAACTTACAGGGTATGTATGTATAATGTTCGCCAAGACCGGGGTCCTGGCACGGGTCTTAATCTTGCGATGACCTGTCTTAACATACAGGGGTTAATAAGATAGTATATATATACAGGCGGAGAGTGAGGTGTGAGTGACACACGGTGACCTGAAGATTAAAGTTTCAGGACCGAAACGTTCTCTAATAAATATGTCCTTGTGTCTGCTCATGTGTCTTTCTAAACCAATCATCCCAACTAACCTAGTTCGGCTGCGGTAGTCACCAAAAACCGGCCCTTGGGTGCGCAACTTCTTCTGCCTGCGGGTTTATGGTGCATGGTTCCAGCCACTGTATGGTGACTTTCCATTCTTTTGGCTGCGGTATGTCGATGATATCCCCATCATTGCACTCAGACGATTCAGCCTTGACATCCAGTTCAACATGGATGATGAACACAACGGCGGCACGCTTCTCTTCTTGGATGTTCTCTAGAAGCCAGACACACAGATGAAATTCAGGATTTCCCGGTAACTTATTAATCAACGTGACTTTATCCACTTCATGGCACTTTACGACGCTAAAACCAGGAGAGGAGCAATGAGGGGTTTCTTCCTCAGAGCATCCAGATTATGAAGCCGGGAGTTTTGAGAACATAAGAAATAAGAAACATTACAAAATGGCTTACTGGCCCATACTAGGTAGAACTTTCTCAGCTGTAAACCCACTAACTAAAACATATGTCTAAGATTTAGTTTTGATAACCCTACTAACCCATGTTGTGCAAGTCCCACTCAAATCCAACTCTTTTTCGCCCACGTATTTGTCTAGACCTGATTTATTTTTGAAGCTACCCAAAGTTTTAGATTCAATTACCCTGCCATGCAGATTGTTCCTGTCTTCATGTACGACTGCAAGGGAGAGACAGCACCTAAAATTATGACTACATCTAAAACAAAGAGATAAATTGACAGGTATATCATTTCTCCCACCTGTAGTGTTGCCACCAACCTCTACAACACCTGTAGTGTTGCCACCAACCTCTACAACACCTGTAGTGTTGCCACCAGCTTCGCCAACATCTGTGATGTTGCCACCAACCTCTACAACACCTGTAGTGTTGCCACCAGCCTCGCAAACATCTGTGATGTTGCCACCAATTTCTACAACACCTGTAGTGTTGCCACCAGCTTCGCCAACATCTATGATGTTGCCACCAACCTTAAGAACACCTGTAGTGTTGCCACCAGCTTCGCCAACATCTATGATGTTGCCACCAACCTTAAGAACACCTGTAGTGTTGCCACCAGCTTCGCCAACATCTATGATGTTGCCACCAACCTTAAGAACACCTGGAGTGTTGCCACCAGCCTCGCCAACAATGTACAGCAGCAATAATAACTACCGCTGCCATAAAGAACCTTACTTGAGCCAAGTATAGCCACCACGATGAGTAAGAAGCAGGATTCTTACATTATTCCTTGCAATGTATGTGACGAACGTTACACAGGGGAAACTTCACGGGACATTATCACACGGGTCATAGAACTCCAGTATGCGTGCATTAAGCATAATACAATGTATATGTTAAACGTGGAGACACCGACAGTCATCTCAAAAAACTGACAGATTCTAAACTAGTTATCAACGAACGAGAATCCAGCCTTTATTATCACTTCTAACACAAAGCCAGAGAACTTCATGTTAGCTAAACCAACAGTATACACTAGACTTGCGAGTTATTTAAGCGTCCAGAAGCCATCATGATAGTGTTGCAAATCCTGCAGTGCTCCCTCGCCCCAATGATACTTCCCTGAATTTCATCTTCCTTCATCTGTACTGTGTATATGTATGCTCCTCTGTCTCGCGCCTTCTATACTTGATTGTGTGGGCGAAACGTTGTCGTTAATGAAGGTATCATTTACTCCACTTTGTTAGTATTTACATACCATTCCATTTCTTGGGATGGAAGAGATGACAGGACTAGTTACGCAGATGGAAGAGATAATAGGTAAGCTACAGGACTTGTAATTGTGTTATTGTAGCGCTGAAGCACTCTTGTGGGTTTAGTTCTTTGCAAGATTATATAGATAACTGTAGAGATGATTTGGATGTTAAGAACAGGCAGGGGTTGTAAGAGCAGGCAGGGGTTGTAAGAGCAGGCAGGGGTTGTAAGAGCAGGCAGGGGTTGTAAGAGCAGGCAGGGGTTGTAAGAGCAGGCAGGGGTTGTAAGAGCAGGCAGGGGTTTAAGAGCAGGAGGGGTTGTAAGAGCAGGCAGGGGTTGTAAAAGGGAGGG